TTTAGGAAAGAGCACGTTATCTAGTATGATCAACAATTTGAACAAGCCCTCGGTCACGATGACTTGTGACTTTGTGCTAGCACAAAGTCACAAGTCACAGCTATCGACGGCCAAGGGTTTTGTCTGCCTATTTTAACTCACAAGACCTGGGTCAACCCGTGGTATGGTTTTCAGGCACTTTCCAAACTCTGCACGCTGGGATCGACTTCTCCAGTCCGATAACATCAGAAAGTCTCCAAGTGACAAATCGACCATGGTGAGATTCGAACCCGGGTCTCATGGTCAGAATGCGAACGTGCTAACCATTCGGTCACGTTCCCATATAATGTAAATAGTGCAAGTAAATAAAAAAAAAATAATAATATTTCGGGATTAAATGACCCATAAGGAGATATGCCGTTAAAGAAACCAAGTAAATGGCCAGGATTTACTTATCTGAAAACTAAGTAAATGCTTAGAGATTCAAATATAGAAATAATAAATATAATAGAATTTCCCAAAGAAAATGCTGATAAGCCTGAATGTAAATTACCAATAATATTTACCTGTCTTTGAACCAAATAAGTGCTTATGGCTCAGTTCTAAATAACGGTGGAGGATTTGATAGCGAGTTGGATTGAGGAATCAGAAAGCCAAGTTTGAATTCCAGTCGAGGTCATTACATTCAATTAATAATTTAATCATGTAAGGTTTTTCGGCTGACATTAAATGGAAAGATTATATTGAATCAATTGCTAGATCTGCAGCTAGAAAAGAAGGTTCACAGTGTCGGGCTAGACAGTTTTTTCTCTCCAGAATCTATCTTACATGTTTATAAGTTTATTATTCGTCCATACATTGAATATTGCTGCCACATCTGATCTGGTGATCCTGCTATGCATTTAGAGATTCTTGATAAAATCAAAAAAAATAAAAAGAATCTGCAATGTTATTGGTCCTGACTTGACATCTCAACTTCAGTCGCTTTCCCCGCCGCCGTAACGTAGCTTCTTTGTGCCTTTTCTATAAATACTGTTACGGTAATTGTCCTGATGAACTTTTCTCTGTGGTATATTTTTTTTATTAGTAACACTATTTTATTTAGTTTCTTGTATAAGAATTGTATTCAATATAAGTATTCATTAAGGTTTCAATTGCAAATGTTGTTATTTTTATTCTCCACCTCCCACAGACAAATTGTACATATGGGAACTATTTAGGACTACATAGAGACCTGAGGTATTATGGTGACTGTAGTAAGAATGGCAAGTAAGAATGTGCTGTTTTGGTGTAAGGAATACTGTAGTATGTTTGGGTCAGTAATCATAGCTAGCTAAGTTTAAGATAAGACAGATTGAAGACCAGTCTTCCTCTGTCCCCGTCCTTTTGGCCTTGTGCCACATTTTTTGTATTATAAGAAAAATAAATATTACTTTCCTCTATGGTACCTGGAGTTTATGAATTTAAGCTCAGAACTAGATTGGCGGAAATGTATCATTTTACTGTTGAAATAGTTAGATGTAACGGCAATTCCTATGCTAGCAGTTTCTTTTATTGCACCTCTCGCATGTGGAACTTATTTTCGGCTTCCCAATCTACTTTGATTTCCAAAAAGTTAAATGAAACGTCAATCGCTATTTGCAGTCTTCTTAATTCCTGTTCTTTTGTTCTCCATCCTTAATCGTTTTTTTTTTGTTTTTGTTTTTTTTCTCATATTCTCTAACATTCAGTACCCGCCACGCCTTGCGTCTTAGTGGTTTTATTGCCTTGCTTGGGGTAAAATGATTTTTAAAAAATAGAAAATATTCCTCCATCGCTGTCAATAAATGAGATGTGGCAAACGATAAGAAAGGTTCGTGTGGTTCTTTCAGCAGATGAAATTCGCCAGTTTAAATAACGATTCCATTTATTTACTTGATTCCGCAACACAAAAAGGTACCTTGCAGCGTGATATTTGCTAGGACAACACTACTCCTAAAGAATAAACCAGTCCAGTTTAAAATGTAATATTAATAATCTTCTGTATTCATTCCTGTTCAAACAGATAATAATTAATAATTTGATTTTTGTGTGTACTTGATAATTTAAAAACATTTTATCACATATTTTTATATAGAAATATAGATATTATTTCATGAACACCATTACTTATTCAAAATTATTCATCTTTTATTCACTTTCGTCATTAATATTTTTACACATTATTACAAAAACAAGTTTTTGTAAATTGTAAGCATGTATATTCCAAAACCATTTAACAGATTCCTGCTGATTAGGGTTTAGTAATACGAGTAAAACTAGCTAAATTTTAACTGTGGTTGGCTAGTCATCATTTATTTATTTAGACGATCCCCGAACTTATGCTGTTTCAGAACTCCATCAATGATCTCCTGGTGTCACCAGTTTACAATAAGATATCTACGCTGATGACACAACTATTTATTTCTGTCTTAGAAACAAGACTGACATATCCGAGAAAGTAAAAATAGCAACCTCCTGTTCAGAGGCCTTGCTGCCGGATGTAGTTAATCATCATACCCAGGACGGGCTAATTTTATTAAAATATAAGGGGTTCTTTCAACAGTCTGTGTCTAGGTTCTCAGTACGGATAGGCTTCCGTCTACATCACATTGAAACACCGGTCCCTGTAAGACCATCGAAGTTAAGAAACGTCGAGCCTGGTCAGTAACTAAATAGGTGACCGCTTGGGAATTCCAGTGGCTGAAAGCTTGGATGTGCGGGTGGTGTAATGGATAATGCCTTGGAACTGTTAATTGGAGAGCCGAGTTTCAATTCCAGTTTCTTTCAAACTTTCTTAGTAATAATAATAGAACCGAACTTTTTGAAGTTTCCTGTTCTGATCCAAAAAGAGCGTACATATTCCTCAAAATTATGCACGTGACCTTTTGGATTTTTTCTGATGCTTTCGATGCGATTTGTACACACCCGCGAGGTGCATATGGATATAAATAATTGCTTCTTGTTTTTGGAGCCGGATAGTCGAATTATTAGGGAAGAATAAGGTAGCGTATGCTGCATTCAGAGCATTTGGTTTGATTTTGTTCGGTTTTTTTTACGGCATATCAACCTCAATGGGTCATTTAATCATGCCACATTGTCATTGGGATGTAATGAATATGCATACACCTATGTTCCCCCTCACAGTAATATGATAGGCTGGTGTCAGCCATAAATACAGACTGATGTGGAGGTACATGGATGATGCCTATTTTCTTTACCACTTACCACTTTTTTTTTCCAGGTAATATTTTTGCTTTGTCAAAAATCTATTTCTCGTAATATTTTATCCTCAAAAACGTATAGCTGGTAATATATTTTTTTTCAAAAACGTATTGCTGCTAATTTTTTTTTTTTTTTTTCTTCAAAAATTTATTTCTGGTAATAATTTTTTACAAAGTATTTCTGTTATTAAAACCTATTTTTACACTTTCATAATGCTTTTTGCCTCAGTTTCAGGGTTAACTATTTTTCCATAGATGGGACCCTAACAGGTGCTACCACCCCGGGTCAGAGTGGACCTGGGAGTGCCAGCAATTAAGAGGTGGTTCCACGCTCCTCAAAGCCTCCTCATCAGAGGCCTTGCTGTTGGACGTAATTTATCGTCTTACCCTGGACGCGGATGTAGTTTATAGTCATACCCAGGAAGGGCATTCAGAGCAGCGTGAAAATTTTTTAAAAAATACTTGGGCATTTCCAAAGAAATGAATTTGAAATACGGCCAGAAACTCCCCTGCCCTCGTGAAGGATCAAATGGAAAATACCCTCTTAGATGTTCCCAAACAACTGCAACATTCTCGATGGCATTTGACGCGGATGACTTGTAAAGTTTTCTCAAAACTTAAAGGCCAACAATAAATCACAAGATACATGAAAACTAGTTTGAATGCTTCTACGGGAAAACCAATTTAAAAAATATTCGTACTAACGTGATTTAGTGTTGCAAAAAAAAAACGATTTTATTACAAGATAAAAGTGAGTAGATTTTTGTGAATCCATGCGAGGATAAATAAGTGTGAAATAAGTTTTAATAATATTGACATTAAATTTGATGCTGCATAAAACTGGTTTTACGACATAGGACTTGATAGTTCTGTGCGAAAAAAAAAACAACTTCTTGCGACACAAAAAACGAACGCCTTCTTGAGACACAAAAAACGAACGCCTTCTTGCGAACCAGAAACGAATGCGACACCAAAACGAACGCCTACTTGCGACAGCCAACGAACAAAACGGCACCCAAGTCTGCTGCCGACAGACGACCGACCGCAACGGCTTTTGTGGCCCAAGAAAAGACACCAAACGACTCGTGCATCTTCTTCTTATAGTCCTCGGTCGAGTCCATTATGGTACTCCAAGGTGTGCCCGGCGACAACACACACACGCAATTCGAGGACGTTTCCGCGCATGCTCGTTACAAGTTCTTTGTGAATGCATGTGATTAATAATAATTGTAAAATAAGTTTTTATAATACTCATTTTGGTATGTAACTTAATTTGTTTTGTTTTTTTATTTTAAATGTCACTATTATTGTGAGTAACCTTTTACCAAAATCCTCAGTTTACTATAAGTAGAATTATTTTCACCCTAAATCTAAAGTTCTTTTTTTTTTTTAAGGAATTCGTTTCACAGTAGGTTTTTGTCGTTACCAATAATGTTGATATTGTTCTTGACGAATAGTTTTAATTACATTTGAACAGGATTTTGTTTTCTCTTGATATACAACTTTCCGACGAACCAAATACATAAATCCATTCAAATCTTCTATAAATAAGGGGCACAAGCGGGCAGTTAATTGACTTCCGGTACGACCCGAACACACGGAACAGACGCTTATTTCTTTCCACAGCTGAATGGAACTACGTCATAAATTCATATACAGATTAAAAACTGATACACACACACACATACATGATTATGATAGAAATGAACCAACAGATGTGGGGTACCCAGCCAAGTATGATTAAATTACAAAAAAAGCTCGAATAAAATACGTTAAAAATTAAACATAAACGAATAGAGGGGCGTACTTGCTATCGTTCCATGAAAATGGAAATGAACAAACAGATAGATAGATATTTACTAAGCATTGCTTAGATATGGAACAAGGTCGAAAGCAGGGAGTACCAAGTGATAATTAACCTCACTATTCAGACATAATTGATCTAGCAGGACAAGCTGACTCACCATTACACCATGTTGAAGTGCCCCAAAAATAGATAGATAGATAGATAGATAGATAGATAGATAGATAGATAGATAGATAGATAGATAGATAGATAACGAACACGATGAGGCTGATAGATAGATAGATAGATAGATAGATAGATAGATAGATAGATAGATAGATAGATAGATAACGAACACGATAAGGCTGATAGATAGATAGATAGATAGATAGATAGATAGATAGATAGATAGATAGATAGATAGATAGATAACGAACACTATAAGGCTGATAGATAGATAGATAGATAGATAGATAGATAGATAGATAGATAGATAGATAGAAGAATGTAAACGGATAGATATAAAAATAATAGATAGATAGATAATGAACACACTGAGACTGATAGATAGATAGATAGATAGATAGATAGATAGATAGATAGATAGATAGATAACGAACACTATAAGGCTGATAGATAGATAGATAGATAGATAGATAGATAGATAGATAGATAGATAGATAGATAGAAGAATGTAAACGGATAGATATAAAAAATAATAGATAGATAGATAATGAACACACTGAGACTGATAGATAGATAGATAGATAGATAGATAGATAGATAGATAGATAGATAGATAGATACTGTTATATCCTGGTTATTATCATCTCTTTCATATAAACATCCTCATTTCTACATACATGGTTGTGTATGACACACACACAAAAAAAAACTTGTCAACGAATATTTATTAATGGAGTTTTCAACTAAAGAAACAGGAACAGCTGGTTAAAATCTTGAAGTATCAATGCAGCCAGACATTGTTAACTTATCTAATGTCTCCAGAATGAGTTAGACGCGATCTTGTTGACATCTGACTCCAGTTTTGCGCAGGAGTTTCAGAAGCGTGTGACTTTATAACGACCAAGTCTTGTCGAGTTGCCAACTGCTTGTCTTAAGGCCCGAACAGAAAAGCGGGTCGTCTGAAACTAAGCGATTCACTGAACCCTAATGTTTTTCCATTAAGAAAACAACATTTGTAATATGATAGAGACGAGATTAAATCGGTTAAGTGTTGTGCATTATAATCCAGAGGATATCAAAAACAGCCCAGTTGTTAGAACACTGGATTATATTCCTTGAGTTTTTCGAATCCTTGTTTGGTATTAAATTGGCAACTTGTATTATTAGAAATAATTTTTTTTTAAGTTATATTAATAGACTTATATAAATTTTAAAAGGTTTTGCACAGTATTACCACCTAATCCGTGCGGTGATTTAAGAGCCACCTTGTGAAAACATGTACATACAGTTAATAAGACTCTGACTTTCACAGTTACCTGAATTTTTACACATTGCCGACTTGGAAAATAAAAACATATATACACACATAGATACATATATACATACACAAGCATATATATGTGTGGAGGTGCATGAAAACTGATGAACATAAAAATTTCTGTCTTAGAAAAGACAACACCCTGATAATATTATGCTAATGTCGAAAGTACTCTGAATAAATGAATATTTATCAACATGGTAATTTTCTCTCTTCCTTTAATAAGAATACTAAAAAACTTGTCTGTAAATATGAGAGGATCCTATTGAAAATAATTAGACAAAACTTGTATGAATTATTCAATGAGACATGTCTTAATGAAAACATACTGCCAAAATATATGCAATATATACATACAGACATTAACTTACTATCTATCAATTCCTTGAATAATAAAATCCTTATATTCGAGTTGTATCTTCAGAAGGAAGTCACATGCTAAGTACTTTCGACAATTTCAAATTATCATCTTCAGGGCCTAATTTTCTAATATATAGGCAAATACTAAGACAAAATTTTAAATTGTCGAAAGTACTTGGCATGTGTCTTTCATCTGACATCTTCGAGTCAGTCGTTCAAGTCTGAACCGACTGTTCGGTTAAACGCTCTTCCTACGGACGGGAGGAACCCGAAGGAGGCTACGCCGAAGGGCAGAATCTCCTTCGGGGAGGTAGACCGGCCCTGAACCCGTTTATACGGGTTCAATGGGCATATTTTTGGCCGAGCCTACAGGCTCGGAATGCCCACGTTAAAATGTCCTTGTGCCACATGACACCCTCGTGGGAGGTGACTGAATATCGTCTTTCATCTGACAACATCTCAAATATAAGGATCTTATTCTTCAAGGAATTGTTAAGTTAATGTCTCATTAATTCCTGTTAGCTAGGTGAGTTAATCACATTAACATTACTATTCAAGTCTTTGCACAAATTGGTTTATTTATGATATAAGATATAAGATGCACACTCTAATATATGTGTGTGTGTGTGTGCGTGCGTGTGTGTATGTACTAATGAATATATATACTATCCAACGCCGATAGCACGACTTGCAGCTTTATGCATTTCTTGCACTCATCAGGTGCAAATATGTTCTAACCGTTATTGAGTTTGCATTGCAAGAACTGCACGAAATTCCGAGTTGTACTATCGACGTTGGATATTATGTATATCCATTAATATATAATTATAGCTCTGTTTCATAACATTGAGCACTTTATTTATAACACCTGAGGAGGAAATATATTTATAGTATGAACAAGTATATGTACGTGCATGCAGATTTTTTATCCTACCCATTCTTATATATATATATATATATATATATATAGAGAGAGAGAGAGAGAGACAGACAGAGAGAGAGAGAGATTTACTAAATGTAGATTAGTTGCGGCACAAATCCGAAAGTATGGGGCATCGAGTTAAGATCGTACTCACTACTCAGTCGTAACTGACCTAACGAAACAACCTTACTGACTCTTACACCAAATGATTTTCTAAGCGTTGCTTAGATATGGCACAAGGACGAATAAGTGGAGCACCCAGTGAGGATTAACTCACTACCCAGTCGAATATATATATATATATATATATATATATATATATATATATATATAATTATTTATCAAAAAAATTATAACATAATTATGTTATAAAATCACTACAAAAATAGCCATTTTGTTTCAACACCTCCGGTGTCTTATCAAGAGATGATGTTGAATGTAAAATAAATGGTTTCCATAAACCATCTATTTTACATATTATAATTTTTTAAATACATAATTATATCTGCTCTACTCTGTATTGAGCCCTCTTTTAAGAATAGTAATTGTTGGTTATTCGAATTCATTCCGTATACACCAGTTATATATATATATATATATATATATATATATATATATATATCGAATATTATTTATTCGAGGATACTCATCTACTAGGGGGCAAGCTAATCCCTATTATTGCAGACGCCTGCTCAGGCGCATTTTGGGTTTGTTCAACACCCACAGAGCCTACCTGTGGTTTATATTGCAACTATGTTGAGCAGACCTAGTTACAGTTTCTGAGAGAGAAACGTGATCAATAATCTGAACAAGGCCATGGTTCAAACTCTCTGTCACAATGACTTGTGACTTCCATTTGATTATATATATATATATATATATATATATATATATATATATATATATATATATATATATAAGATATCATAAGAAAACACTAATATTACATGGTTATAATTTAATGGAATATGTAGGTATAATGAATTGGATCGTTATTACGATTCGAATGTAATAAATTATAACCGTGGAATATTAGAGTTTCAGTTTTTTATATTATATTCTTGCTGTCTTGTACATTGAGCTCTAGCTGGATTCTATCCTCTTGAAAATATATATATATATTGACCACTGATATATATATATATATATATATATATATATATATATATATATATATATATATATATATAAGTGAACATTGAAGTCAACACTCAGAAGCGACTGGTAGTTTCATGATAGTCGCAATCTATCTCTGATACTGAGCACTTTATCCCATGAATAGAGCACAGCTTAAAACTATATTTACACACACACATATATATATATATATATATATATATATATATATATATATATATATATATATATATATATATATATATATATATATATATATATATATATATATATATATATATATATATATATATATATATATATATATATATATATATATATATATATATATATATATATATATATATATATTATCCCTAGGTACTTATCAGGCTCGATGTTGCTTAACTTTGATACTATAAGTTTGTATTTTCTGCTGGTGTAATGCATAACGGCTCCAAACGTATGAATCCACCTCTTCTCTCTCCCACCCCCCAGCTCTGGATTAATTTATAGGACCTAAACCGTTAAATAATTATCATCTTCAAAAAATTCTTATCATCGACTTAGGATTGAAATTATTTTCTAGGAATTTTCCATGAAAATAAATAAGAGTTGGAATAAAAACGGGAGTAGATTTTCTTTGAAAAATTTGAAAAGTTTGGGTGTGCGATTATTCCGTACCCTAGAGTGCCTCTTTGTCCGTGTCGTCAACGTCACTGTTCGTTGTGTTAGGGACAGGAAGAATGGTGACAAGACAGAAATCACAAAAGGGTGTCTGCAAGTTGTCTTCGGTGTGGCAAGATGTAGGAGTGAGAAAGTCGAGAGAGAGACGAGGTTTGTGAGTAGCACGTTGTCCCGGCACTCAGAAACAGAAAACAGAATCGTGTCAAGTAGAAAATACTGTGTCAATGCACATCCGTTAAATAGGGCATTTAACGCATGTGCAAACACTCAGAAAGTTGGCCAGATTCCCAAAGGAGAGCTTCTTTAGTTTGAAATCTGTTAAAGTTTTCATCGCTGAAATGACGAGATTTACATATTTGTTTTGAAAATCGCCTTTTACGAAAAGCATCAAGATGGCGTTATTCTTACTCTACTACTACTACTTATTTTTTCATTTTTTTCTTTTCTTTGTCTTCTTCTACCGCCATTACTTCTTTTTTCTTCTTCTACTACTTTTTCTTCCTGTTCTTCTCCCTCTTTTTTCTTCTTGTTTTTCTCCTTCTACTATTACTACTACTACTATTATTATTATTAATACTACTACTTCTTTTTTGTCTACTTCTTATAATTATTATTATTACTATTATTATTGTTGTTATTATTATCATTATTATTATTATTAGTAGTAGTAGTAGTAGTAGTAATTGGCGCAAAATAACATTTTCAAAGAACAGATAAATTGTATTTCGGATTCCATCTATCTCTGTCCATTTTCCTATCACTCTCCATCCATTTCCTTTTCTCTCTCTTTCTCTCTTTCTTTTCTCTCTCCCCCCCAGTATATGTATATATATATATATATATATATATAGAGAGAGAGAGAGAGAGATATGAACAGACATATATAATATATATATATATATATATATATATATATATCAAGAGAGAGAGGAGAGAGAGAGAAAGAAAGTGAGAACGTGTGAGATTATTATATGCAATATATTTAAATGCTGATAACCTGGCTTATGGATTGCATCTAAATTGCTTTTCTATGTTTCTATCACCCCATACACAGGCAAGCACTCATAGATAGATAGATAGATAGATAGATAGAGATAGATAGAAACAGTTTGGACAAAAGAATCAACACTGCATGATGACTCAATGTCGCTATGTTCTGCTGGTCGGTTCATCTCAGATACTGAGCACTTTCTCAGGAATATGGCGCCTTTCCAGTAGTATATATATATATATATATATATATATATATATATATATATATATATATATTGAACAATAAAAAATATTAAAAAATTAAAATCTTCAGACACACTGGGTTGTAGATTAATATTCTTTCGTTTTTATTATTATTTCATATATGTTCCAAGACTAGTTTCGGCCAACATGGCCATCATCAGGAAAAAAAAATTCTGCTTGCTGGTATATATATATATATATATATATATATATATATATATATATATATACTAGCAGCATGGCCCGGCGTTGCCCGTGCTTGATTCAAAAATCGTACGACTCATACAGCAATCGCTATCACTTGACTTAAAATATTTTTGCCCTTCCTTGCCTGTAAAGGAGTGCCCTTTGCCGTGCTGGTGTTGCTACATGCCTTACTTCTTGCCTATCTCACACTGCGAATTTTTTCTAAGCTCTATACTAAACATTAAATCTGTTACGATAAAAGAACTAAACAAAATGAACACAAAACGATCAGCTTTAAAAAAAGGACTCGTAACTGGAAGAACCCAATTAAAAAAGAATGTTAACAAAAATACTTTTTCACACCCAACCCAATTCTGCGGAATCGGAATCAACGTTGAGTTTAAGCAAGCAAATGAGCCAATTGGAGTAAAGTGCCATGCAGATTTAAATGTTTCCCACTTGTGACGAATGCAGCTATCGATTTTTTTGCATGCTAGCATGCTAGTTAACATTCGTGTCAGTCAGCTGTTGATTCTCACACTGTTCAATAGAATCTTCCTGCCTATTCGTGGCAGCCAGCTATTGGCTCTCACTCTGACCAGTAGAAAATGGCCGCAAACTACATGAAAACTGCCGCAGAAGCATGAAAAAATCGATTATTTCCACTATCGAAGTAATATAAGTAATTTCAGATCTTTATTCTACATTCTATCTTTCTCTGTCACACCTGCAGATGGGTCCGCCATGCAAAGATCGGACTGCTGAGTCACCCTAAACTCTGCTCACAACAAGGCGCTAAAATTATCTCGTTAGATTGATTTGCTTTTTACGGTTTATCAACCTTTTGCAGGGTGTTTAAATTCAGAATTTTTTCTTTTAGATTGTAAGAATTTCTTTTGGAGTATATAATGATTTAGTGATGACAGTCCTGCTATTTAACCCATAGCTTGATGGATCCATAGCTTTTCCAAAGGGTATTTGCGCGTAAGTGAATATTCCGAACGCAACAGGAATTGAAACTCTGCTCTCCGATTAGCAATTCTGAGTCATTATCCATTACACCACCCGCACATCCAAGCTTTCAGCCTCTGGTACTCCCTAGTTGTCACCCATCAAGATACGGGCCAGGTTCGACGTTGCTTAACCTCGGTGGTCGTACGGGAACCGGTTTTTCAACGTGATATGGCCGTAAGCATCTCATGAGATAAATTGATGTTTACTATATATACTACTACTACATGGGGTGCAAAGACGCAAACCAAGAGTTGGGAATCTATATAAAGACTTCTTAATAAACATGAATTGTTTACTCAACCAAAGACACTAAAAGACATATGGAGACGAACAGTTTTAATAAAAGTTCGAAAATCAGGAACGGGGTAACAAGAGCCACAAAACTACAGACCAATCTTACTCACTAGATCGTTGTGTAAAACTATAGAAAAGATAGTAAACAGCAAATTGTCGATGATAATATTAGCCGTTTCCTTATAAGGAAACATTTGGCATTCAGTGAAGAAGCAATTAGTACTAGAATCGGTTAAAATTTATAAAATCTTTCACTTAAAAAAATTTTTCAGGGAAACAGGATTTTTAAGTCCAGTAACTGTTATAGGTCTTTCAAGGATTTGTTTTGCCACACTTGCAGAAGTGAGAAGTTTTATTTAAAAAAAAAAAAATCAGAATATTAACCTTACGACTTCTCCCTTTTAAGATAGATACCTACCACCCTCCTTGACTCCTGTCTCGTGCCTAACGTCTGATTGAAACAGTGAACAGTGTAAACTCTGTATTAGGCGTTTTCGGCAAGTTAATGTTTAGGTTAACCCTTTAGCCTCCAATATCATTTCCTAACTGCAACTTCCTGCTTCCTCTAACCTTACAGACATGGACTTCATTCCACACCGAGGTTGAAAAGACAGACGACCACTTCCGTCGTCTGCCGAAATAGCCTATTCCCCATATGAGTCAAAAGTTTTTATTTGATCATTAATTATATTGCTCTGTATAAATATAATGTGTATCTATTGGCAGAACAAGATGCGATATGCCGTCCTTTTAATAGATAAAAAATTAAATTTAAAAAAAAAAACATTTAAAATCCTAACGAAAAAAGTAGAGAAGTGTTATTTTCTGTTCTCAGTTTTATTATTATTCACGTCATTCATTTTTTTGGCCGTTCCTTCAGCCATAATTCAAGTTGAAGACAGAGGAAAGAAACGAGAGAACAATGATATAATCTTCTTCCTTCCGTCACTGATAGCGATATCTTCAGAACCACGCATGCGTATAAGTATGCGTATAAATTTTTAGTCTTCTTTGTCCCGATGTTTAATGTTTAATGTTCGTATGAATATGGCTGGATATTTTTACTTGACATGTATATACGCGCGCATGCACGCGTGTGTGTTTCTTATTTTATGACAAACACGCGAGGACGTGTGTTTCTTATTTTATGGCTAAAACGTACAAGAAATTCAGTAGAAAACACTATGACTTTTAATCAGCAATAATGAAAGTTGAATGTTAGCATAACACAACAATGGCCTTTTTTCGGAGTTTTTTCATACGCATTTCATTTAATCGGAACATATTTCTTATTGCTATAAACGTGATATTGAATGTGTCATAAAGGAAGAAACTGAGTAACTACCGACACCAAGGTTCGAGCGTGACACTCTGGACTTACGAATATATGTTTTCCGCCAGGTGTATAAATAGAGGTGTCAGACTACTGACTGGGGTGAGTACTGAGTGACTATTTAGTGGAACTATCCAGTCGAATTAGTGTGAATTATTGTGCGTCAATGATTTGGGTTTTGATTTAGGATTTACCAGGTGTCAAGCCGAGCCGCACTACTAACAAGATATTTACTGAAATAGTCAATTATCTTTGGTTGACTTTTACTTCTTTGTTGTTGTTAAGTATTTATTTGCGGTTGTAATTAAATATTGTTTTATTTTAACATTGAAGTCTGGAGTTAGACTTAATTATCAACGGCCACCGGATGTCACAAAAGAATGGATACGTGTTTGGGCAGAAATACCTGTTTTGTCATTTTTGCTGTTTTTTTTGTTTGTTTGCTTTTTATTTGTTTGTTTTTTGTTTTGTTTTTTGTTTTTGTTTTTGTTTTTGTTTTTTTAAATGAAGTCTATGCTTACCGTCCGAAAGAGAGAGAAGTCCTACTAAAAAATATGCATAAATGTCGAGAGGTATGCTGTCCTTGGTAGAACTTCTCAGTCTCTAGGTAGGTACGCATAAATACCAGAGTTTAAAAAACATGGATGTCTACTCAACTAGTGCACCCACTAAATATAACGTTTACAGAAAGAGCATATATATGCATACACAGACACGGATATTCACAACAGATATTCACACACACATATATATATACATACACACACGTCCACACGCACACACACACACAAACATATATATATATATATATATATATATATATATATATAGACAGAGATAGACAGAGAGAGAGATAGAGAGAGAGAGAGGTTCTATCCATAATATAAAAATAGAATGGACAGTGGTCAATTATAATAGAAGCTAATATCCAAGTACAAGGGTTGGTACACATGTAATAAAATTCCAATAACCAAAAAGTGTGTTCAATTATATAAAAATAGAGTGGGCAATTGAGCACTCTTTTAAGAACAATGTTTTTGATTATTGAAATTTTATTCCATGTGTACTAACCTTCTACTATATATATATATATATATATATATATATGTGTGTGTGTGTGTGTGTATTTTATTTCTTACCTCCTTGGTGTTAGCAAATCCTGCAAGAAATATCTTGTAGGATGAAATAGCTATTAAAATGGGGTAGTTTTGAATTTCTATTCTATGTAATATATATATATATAAAGATATTTTTATGTTTATACATTCTTTTTATAGATAAGTAAATGCTATGTTTTTTTTTAATAATAAACAGTATTAATAACATTTACCGGCCTGAATGTCCGAGAAATTTTCATAGAAAATATTCGTTCTCCGACAGGAATCGAACCTGTATCCTATACGGAACCGTCATATTGTCTGACGAGCTTTAACCGATCAAGCCACGGAGAATCGTTCGATTAGCAAGGTCGATTTTACTGTTTTTAAACTACAATCTTCCATGAATCTCTCACGTACATTCATATCTGCTCGATGTGTATCCAAATATAAACAAATGGCGTCACACATTATGAAATAGACAATTATTTAAGACATTTTTATATTATATATATATATATATATATATATATATATATATATATATATATATATATATATATATATATATATATATATATATATATATATATATATATATATATATATATATATATATATATATATATATATATATATATATATATATATATATATATATATATATATATATATATATATATATATATATATATATATATATATATATATATATATATATATATATATATATATATATATATATATATGTGTGAGGTCACCTGGTGTAATGGTTAGCAAGCTTGTCTCGCGAGAACAATTGCGACTGAGTAGTGAGTTCGATCCTCACTGGGTACCCCATACTTTCGATCTTATGCCGCATCTGAGTTACGCTTGGAAAATCACTATATATATATATATATGTGTGTGTGTGTGTGTTATAAATTTGGGTATATGATTCCGTCAGAATTACAAATAATTGACAACTGGAAAAACGTTCATGAAAGTATAATGTTTCGAAAATCATCCGACTATGCATTTCGCCGATAAGGCTTCATCAGATCGAGTTGCGTGCGTGTGTGTGTTTAAAATAATGAAATCCTATATTTGTCACGAGCAACGCCAGCTTGGGAAAAATGTAAGATTTCACCATTTAAAACACACACAAATATATATATATATATACTCGACTCTCCCGTCGAATTCGACGTATGAGGGTCAAGCAGATCAGTTCCCAGGAAACCGACATCCCGACAACAGAACATGAGATTTGATTATAGTGGTGAAGGTTTTTGAAGGGCCGAATACAGAGACCTGGTGCGCTACATACCACAAGGTCCGCAAACGACCCTCTGCAGGTTTTGAATTCAGAGTTGTCCTTCTCCTAGACCAGTTGCCATCAAAGACTTATAGAACCCAGTCTGTCCTGCTATTTACCCATAGCTGGAGGAAGAAGAAGAGGATTCACACCATTCCCAAGGGTATTAGCACGTAAGTGAACGTAATAACTACCCATAACTCTCTCTCTCTCTCTCTCTCTCTATATATATATATATATATATATATATACTCTTAAGGTGTGCTATATTTATGGGATAAAGTGATCAATATCAGAGATAGAGCGTGTGTAAATATAAAAGTGAACATTGAAGTCAACACTTAGATGCGACAAGCTGTTTCATGCTAGACGCTTGGCCTGACGATTGCGTCTAGCATGAAACAGCCTGTAGCCTCTAAATGTTGACTTCAGTGTTCACTTTTATACATATATATATATATATATATATATATGTATGTGTGTGTATAAAAGTGAACAATGAAGTCCCAACATATATATATATATATATATATATATATATATATATATATATATTTTTCATTGAATACGACTGACTAAGAAGATTCAATTAATTTTTTAATTAGTTTTTCCAGCTTCCTAATATTTTTCCGTTTTGTAGAAGCTAAGGAATATAAAAAATTTTCTATAATTGTTATTGTCCCAAGCGCTTTCAGACACTTCTATAGACATTTTCAAGGACATTTATATTGTCTCGCTTACAAGGTCAATGCCACCGCAGACACTTCCGTGCTAGGTACGGTAGTCAATTCTTGGATCAAACCTGTGGCTGTACAGGTTCTAGTAGAATTCTGTTCTCTTCTACATGAAATACGTAACTCAGAAGTGGCTAGTCGAAAATGTTCAAGATCACTTCAATCCCAAATATTTAGTCTTCTAGCTCTACTGAACCTAATCCTACACCGACTGCGGTATGGTTTGAGTGGGAGGCCAGCCAGTAAGCATATGATACTGTTATATTCCGTGCTAATAGGAATATATACTTGAAAAATAAGGTGGATAAAATAAGTAAAGGTTTATTGTAAAAAAAAAGTACAATAGGAATTAAGGTAACAGTTATGCACAAGGTCGTCGCAGGTCAATCTACTAGTGAATGCGACTATTGGAAGGTTGGTAGT